GCGATTGCAAACCCCACTTCATTGAACCATGGTATCATGGCGCATGTTATGTCACTAGGCTCCGAGTAGCTGATCAATATCTAGAAGGGAATACGGCAAATTAGATCATTCAGTAGTCTCGCAATATCTACCTTAATTGGGCATCATTAAAGGAAGGTTACTACGCTTCTTTTTCAACTCGTTGCGCATTTTCTTGAAATGCCACGGGTAGTTAAGGTGCTCATAACGGCAACTATTGAATCTATTTCGGATTAAAGTTATAGAACAAGATATTGACGTTATAGAACTAGGAAGTCGATAATTTTATGAGTTTGATGCGGGTTTTATAATGGAGTCACTCGCTAAACTAGCCAGTGATATATATTAGCTATAACTATAAAAAAAACAAAAAACGTTGTTCATATTTGTAAATTTACATTTATGCACGAAGTGATCGGTGACAGCCATTATAATGGTTCTATTATGTATATGATGAAAACAACTAGAACAAAGTTAACATATCATACAAACATAAATGCGTCTTGTTTTGTCATCGTCATTACCATTATTAGCGCATGCATACTAGAAATAAACCTTGACGTCACACTGAGTAAACAGAGCCTGTAGTTTCAATAAAACTTGTGTCATTTATCATGAAGACAAAGTCTTGTTTTAGTTGAAAAGATCTCATTTTTCTCCTGGCCCCTTCGGGTTAGCTACCAACAACATAATGTGCCTATAGATTTCGTAAACAACGTTAGAGACGCGGTATCCTTTCTGTTAGACTACGAGTAATCAGTTGACCAAGACTTACTCGCAGCAAATCCGGGGTCCGGGCGCAATTTATATCACGCATGCGCTGTATTATTCATTTACTGTCATATACAGATGGTGATTGAATCTATGTTTAGCGTGAAAGTATTAAAATAATGTAAAGTCAGTAAAATAGGATAGAATTAGATCGCTCCTTTACGAGAATTGTTTAAATTGCGTCGAAACATTCTTCATCATATGCCTATTCACCGTGTCTATTTCCGCAATATGCTTTCGTAATATTAAAAATAATGACAGACATTTCAATTTCCCTTGACATAGTTTCGTCTTTGAAGTTAAGTAGTTATAGGACCTCGACTTTATACCTGCGAGGCCATCTCTGGCAGAGAGAGAAAAACACTAGCAATTAAATTGAACATATCTTTATTTATGCTTCGAAAGATTACTCCAAGAACTGCGTTTAACAACACGTATATAGCTAGTTTAATGCATAAGAAACTGGCAAGATTGCGATAAGCGCGGCCATCTCGTAAAGAAATAATCGCTTCGTTTGGCTTTATTTATTTCAGATAATACGTGATTAGGCCATGCTGTTTCTCCATGTTTACGAGAGATAACAGTTTATACAGCGACACGACAGTGTCTGTGACGTGAGGGGAATACCAGGCCATGTTAAATTAAACGGCTTGAGACATTGGCATTTAACGTTCTGTTTTTACTTATACTGACTGGAAAAATGATATGATTAATTATGGAGCTAAAATAATTGAACTCAAATCAAAACTATCGATTTATGAATCCCGTCTTGCCGTATTAAATGACATATTTATCGAACATGTGTATTGACCTATTCAGACGTTAGTCGATAGAAAAACATGCTTACCGGACTGTATAAAATCAATGACCCAAGAAGAATGATTCTGAGCAGTGCTGGACTAGCAGCTTTCACCACCTACAGGGGAATATAATAATAACGACAATGTCACAGGCCGTTGAGCGAAAAAATTGTAAATTTATCTCTAATGAAATACGTAAGTAGGTAAAAATTAATAAAATGCATTTATCGACACAGTCAATTGATTTCAAATTATCGCTAACATGCATGAAGTTCACTCGAGTTTGCGCTTGACAGGAACTTCGGATGCCGTTGCCGTTGCTGTGATAGGAATTGTAATCAGTAAACTGGAAAACGTTTTCAATTAACCCAAGTGTAGTCTAAGTTGGTTGGTTTCTTGGCGCCAGTAGATGGTTTAACGTGGATTACTAAAGTATCGAATGATTTTACCTTAACAGCACTGAATCTGACAGTAAACCATAGCAACACGGTAGTGCAGCTAATAACCGTACACTGTACAATCAGTATAGACGTTCGCATCGTCCAATCATGAGTGAGCACACATGGTCGGCCATCAGAGCATTCCTCGCACCCTTTCCCACAAGGTATACATCCAATTTTCTTCCACGTATTTTCTTTGTCCAGTAAATATTTATCATGTTCTTGTTCTACTTCTGTGCCATTGTAGAAACGATTCTCTACACCTATATCCGGAAAGTAGTAGCCTTTCTTGCAAACACACATGTAGGACCCGCGACGAAACCCAAGCCCAGGAATAAATTTACACTAGAATAGTAAATGAAAAAAAAGTGATTATGTAGTTTTCTTTATTACTAGGTTAAACATAAAATATACATCGAATAAAATTACAATTTCCGTGTATATTGTATATAATATATATTTTTTTACAAATATACAGTGACAAGTTCCATATGCAACTGATGCGGTACTGCGCACTACTTCATTAAACACAACTTCACAACAAAACCTAACAAGTAGAGAAACCCAATTAGTATAAATTTAATTGTGCAATACTATATTATATCAAACAGTAATGTGAGAAGTCCCCACAGTCACAGACAGCATACGTCAACGCATTCATGTAACCATACAATATCAGCACTGTATGATTAATACTAAAATAGACAGACACATTTTCCTCGTGTCTTCACATTTGAATTAAACGCATGTATGATACAGTAGTCTCAAAGAGACGTCAAAATTTACAATACGCGACTTTTACGTTGTTCATGCATCTATTCAACGGCTTACAATTGCCCTCATTACGTGTTACATCGGTGGCCGCACGGGGTGACGCATTCGAGCTGCCACCAAACCGTGACTTAGCATGGTAATCCCATATGTGTATTTTGTCATTATGTCATTACTTATATTACCGAGCTTTAGAAATATTGTACATTTTTTTTAAATTGCTTGTGCCACGATATTACACATTCGTAATGACTGCGGTTCTTTTTTGTTGAGAACACGTTGACGACTGACGTTTGTTTTGTTGTCTACAACAAAAGAAAGTACAAACAAAACATCGGTATAGAATAGAGATTGGTTTCCTAGCAAATCGCCCCTCACAAATTCTAATCGGACATGCATGGTAATCGTGCAAATGATATAAATTGGAATATTAGATACAACAAATAAGCTATGTATGATTTTGTTCTCATCGGCTGTGAGAGACAGACCGATGTGAAGCAGCTTCAATGCGTCAAATATTCTTACTACCTTAATATTTGTACTAATCTACAAACATAGAACGAAGAAAAAACACACAACCGATTGATGGATATAATCCTACTAGTTTTAAATTAGTCTTAGTTAGTCTACGTACAGTATAGAAAATTGAATCTTTTTAATGAAGCTGATACTTGACGATGTTGTATTACGACATTCGTAATACATGTACGCTCATCCAAATCTCATCAATATGCACCAATATTGAAATCCAGTCTAGTAATTTTCTTAATATCTGTACATCCACAATTTAAGATAGCGATTATGTAACCCATTGATATTAAAGTACAATGTTGTTTTTGTCATTCCTTCGGAAACCGGACTCGGAGCTGAGCAATATAATTTAAACCTCCATCGATTTGGTATTCAGGGAATTCAGAGGACAGATACAGTTTTATAACTGGAACAGTTTGATTTGATTTGTTTTCCATGGACAATCTAATCTGCTCTACTTGAAGAAAATTAAATACGAATAATACAGTTGCAAATCAAGAGAATCTGATGAATAAATCGATGCTCGTCTACGATAATCCATTTGAAGATAGAATGTCGTACTGCGTGCTTTATTAAATATCTGCATAAAGTGGAATCTGTGTCGTATTTATTCAAAAACTGTCTTTCCCAGTATGAAAACATTTGTCAAATATTAAATTAAAAAAAGTTCATTGCATTTTGCCGCCAAATATTAAACTCCCTCGTCAATTGAAACGATACGTTATCAATAACAAATAAGACCCGTGTTAAGAAAATAAAAAAATCACAGAGACATGACAAATGTTAAAAAAAAATTATAGTTAAACTGTGATTAAAACTAAGACCTCTATTTAGTATTCATTCCATGTTGATGTGTTGACATTTATTGCTGCCCATCAGATGATGAGCCTGAGAATAAACATAATATCTGCTGGCGATCTTTACGATTTAACAGTTGGACATCCACCGAATCCCGTCGATATCGTCGGCAAGTAATATCAGAATAAATGATGGGAAATAGCATACCGGGAAGGGAATCCATTTGGCTTCATTTAGTATTGAAGACACGCTGGGTGATATTAACTCTTAGGTTAATAGAATAAATCTAATAATTGGCATGTGATGAAAATAATTAATAAGAAAGGAAACTGAAGTATTCTGTTACAAAACAACATCTGACACATAAATAGTTGAAACAAGACTATAGTCTGTGTGTCGCGTTTCTTATCAATACATTTACATATATCATGACACGACGTATATTATAATATCAGTCACATTATGCGTTGCCATAGTGATAATATTCAGACCTGAGCACTAAAATATTGAAGGAGATTTCAAATTAGTACCCTCGCTCTCATCGCCAGTTCGTTCATTTCCATTCCCAAATTCTATTTTACAATTGGTTATTTGATATATATATATATAGCAACTCCAAACTGCTGGCCAAATATTCACAGAATGACAAAGAGTAGAGTCCCTACTTACTGACGATTATCGTCTTATCAATCTCCTGCCCAACAAATTAAAAAACACAATTTATTGCACACTGCTCACTACTACATCACTAGATGTGTACGACGCACTTACTGGCTCGATGAACGATGTCAAAAAGAATGCTTGAATCAACCTATTTAGTTTTATTACACAACATAAAAGCTAATCTGCTGATCAAACCAAAATTGAATACGGATTTATCGACAATTCGAACAGCGCTAATGATCGACCAAGCCAATAAATACGTGAGAGATACTGCCACTACTTAACACATTGTATAGTGTAGGATTTCTACGACTCATCAATTATTGCCAAACCTTCAGTCTACACTGTAATGTTTATATAAAGATGTAAGTAACCCTACCTGTAATTTGCTACCAAAGTTTTCACAATACCACGATGGAAAATCATGCGTTAACAACACGAAAGTCTATATATAATTATATGAATACACCAACGTTATCAACTTTATATTGTATATATAATCAGTGTCAACTATTTCTGTTTTTGTCATTTATTACCTCAAATTTACTGTAACAATTGATATTTTGAAACAATGAAACACAAAAACATTGTTCAAATACTGTTTTAGTAAATTCATGACATTTTATATATACCATATTTTTTGATTACAAATAGTTTTACGTATTTGTATCGTATTTTGGTATCTGCGAATACAGCACTATGACACATTCACCTACGAACCCAGTAATGGACTTGTAATTAAGGACACGCAGGGTTTCTATTTGAATATATTAATAACTACGCGTTTTTCTATAGCGAAACGTGTATATTATATTCTTCTTTGTTAAATTCTACTCGGCTTGTTCACATTTTTTTTATTCTTCAAAACGCCAAAGGGCCTTCAAACAAATACACGGCTCAACAAATGGAAATTAGAGCCGCATAATCAAGGGAGTTTTCATTTGACGTTTTCTTCAGTACTGCAGCTGGGGGTCTAGTCTGACCCTTTGCCACGTTCGTACCAATTAGACGAGATTACGCTCTCGTCGCGTTTGTCCCAGAAACCACTTAAATGCTAAAATATGACAACTTTCCCACGATTTGTAGGATTTCGCCCGTGGCGTAAATCACTTCAATCCGACTTTTGAAAACACATGTATATATGCGGTGAACACGATGTCTTTTAACTGGAAACATTTCTCGTCTTAGCATCAGTATAATTAACATCAAACCATCATAAATTCCACAATTCGTACACTTATCCAAATGCGAAATATTCACTTGTTCTCGAACCATATTCGTACAACAATGACGAACGTGTACACATACATAGAGTCGTGCACTCAAAATGCGTAACATTTATTGCTTGCAGCAGTAACATATATATATTAAAACTATCCAACAATTAAATCGATAGAAAAACAACTACGCCAATTGTTTATTTCGTCGCACACAAATATACACAAGAAAAGTGTGGCGAGTTATCGCATACATTATGTTTACAGTCCAAGTCTATTAAGTTGATATACACCGAAGGAATTGTACAAATCTAATCAATTAATTACAATCCACATAATATTCCCTATGGCAGACCTAGAATGTCAATACACTTTTTAAATATCAACCTGATACAATATTATACGTTCCATCAATGCGATTAATTTTGCCCACATACACATATTTCCCAAGAAAATATATTCACGTAATCACTTGGCTTACATCGTTTCTCTAAAAAAAAGAAGTTATTAGGTCATGACGTCAAAGTTTAAAACAAATGTTGAAGTACCTACATCAGTACTGTCCCTTGGACACTTGTCCGATCCAGCGAATACGTTTCTTCGTTCTTTGTGCATCAGCTGGGTAGTTTTAGAATTAATAACCGTTTCATTGTTTTCCGGGCACTGATTGATGTCCACGTCACGCAGGTCTATGTCTATGCCGCTTGTACCTCTGAAAAAAAACACAGACAAAGAACGTTTGATTGTTGTATGCGTAGAGAAAGTGTAGGTCCATTTAACCATCTTATGTGTGTTATGATGTGTTGTGATGTAATTGTTGTTATTATAACAAAATAAATGATTCTAATCGAGTTAAAAAGATGGAGGTGGGATAATAAATATGTCATATTACTGTAAGGATTGGTAAACTGTCATACGAGCCCACATGTCAAGCCACACAAAGCATATGCGTCACATCTGTGGTGTGGTTTATATGTACATGTTCTATAAAGAGTCTAAAGCCATGAGACATTTAATTAGATTGGAAAACCAGCAGCTGTATCGAGAATACCAACGGAAATAACCGGCACAGGTTACCGTGAGAAGGTAGACAATCTTATTCTGTATCATTGGTTTGAATGATCTGTAGAATATACTATAATCACAAACAATAATTACATTCTGTTGGCTAATACAATTTTAACAAATATAAAATGAAAAATGCCTAAATCACATATATACGAGTATGAACACCGGGGATTGGAATTTACCAAGTCGCAAATGACTTGGTCATTCTTATTTGTTACTACCGATAACAATTGAAATAACATAATATCGTTATTGAACACATTTCCTGAAAAAGTGAATTCATTACTCAAAGACGACGAGATTATAGAATTAATAAAATGTAAAACAGTGATATGATGTTTAATGCAATCTGTCCATTATATCTTTCTGTGGTAAAGAACGAACACATATAATATGTCATCAATGACTCGAATTAATATTACATCAATTATTATAGGACTTTATAAAAACATATTCTTTTCAGCATTTCCCGTTCCCGATTATATAAATTGAATAAGACATAAGATTACACATACTACCAGCTTTCCAAGATTATCGAATTACTCAATCATAACAAATTACAGGAGATACAAAATAGTGTCTTAGTTGTATATCCCAACTCGATCACATGAGAGAGATTATCGCCAATGAAAAAATGTTGGGCATGTGAGTTGGGTTTTAAATACGTGAAATCTTGATATTATGATGGTAAAACAAAAGATGTCACATCCTACCAACTTTGACAATATTGAATACTGCAAAAATTGCAATTGTGTCCCAAGGATAGCTAGCAATGTTTAACAAAGTACAAGATTGAGTAACACTCTAGTACCAAGCCATAAAATAACCCCGAATTTATAAAATCTAAGCTTCTCAACTAAACCTGGTGAAAGTCGCCTCTAAATATTAACTAAAAGGGCCCCCCAATAAAATCCAAAGGTTTGATTCTCCTCTGGATGTTGTGATTTCTGAGCCTATTGTTTCGGGGCACCCATCCACAGCCTATCTAGAGAGGGTTTGGCATCTTGCAGGTTTGCCCTGCTTGTATCCGCATAGCAGTAAAATAGTTCCTTGCATCCTCCTTGCCGGCCCTAAATACACTTTCAATGCCCAAAACAGAAGAATTCAGGCAGTCTCAAGAAACACGAAATGTGATGGCTGTTTGTTTTTATCTATATTTCTGAGCTCTAACATCAGGAGTACAGAAACGTGTGGGTTTTACCTACATTTCGAATAAAGATCCATTGAAATATCTGACTCACACTACAATGCCTCCCTGAAGCTAAGCAGTCTCAAGAAACACGAAATGTGCTTTTATTGATGAATATTGATGGCTGTTTATTTTTAACTATATTTCTGAGCTCTAACATCAGGAGTACTGAAACGTGTGGTTTTTACGTACATGTCGAATAAAGATCCATTGAAAGGGCCTGACTCTCACTATAATGCCTCCCTGAAAATACTGTTATTGCAGTATAGGGAGATTCTCCAATGAGTCTAGTCACTAAGGACAGTGACCAGGATGCTGTTTGCTCGATAAATATCACCATCACTGCTTCTTAAGAATTATAAGTCTGATTATTTGCTAGATCTATCTTTGCTAGATCTGCAATCATAGATAATTTGATAATTGAGTTAATATATTAGTGTACGTAATGTCAGTGCAATGGAATCTTCCCCAGTACCTGACCAATAATACAAACACTATGCAATTACTGAGATGGTGATGGAGGTCCCTTTGATACACCAATCTCTGTAGCCTCTCCAATGACTCTGGAAGGAGTAGCTCAT